TGCAATTAGTAGCAGTTACTAGTTAAAATAAATTGTTATAATTTTATATATAGACCTTCTGGGTACTAAATAAATACGGTTTACTACTCGACAGGACTGTATGTAGTTCGGCATTCGTTTTATTAGTACAAATGAAATACGAAGAGCTGGGAAGTTAGTGTTATCTCCGTATAATGGCTACGTAAAAGCCACAATTATGGATGTAGAATTTCAAATAATTACAAGCTATATACATTCCTGAAATTTAGTATAAAAGGTATACATTTAGAAGACAGTTTGAAATCTGCTGAGAGTTGTAAGTACTAGGTTCTGTGTAATTTTTTATTTGGAGGTTTTCTTGCTGCCTTGTACTTCTGTGAGATCATACTTGTAGCATAGATATGCGAGGCCCATTGCACATTTTAGGTATTAAAACTACAAGTACGTGTCAGCTTCGACTTGTCGGGTTAATCCAATAGAAATTACTTAATTATAATGAAGGCAATAAGATATAGCTTTATATTCGGCTGTATAAAAACTTAGAATGACAGATTACCTGGCTATCTTTAGCTTATTAAGATAACAAAAGGAACCGAAATCAACATTTCTTTAGTTAAAATAATGGAAGAACGTGTTATCTTCGTATACCGTTGTTTTTTGTCATCTCCAGTCATATATTAGTTAAGTGCTAGACGTTTGATTGGCAGTGATTATGAAGAATAGAATAAAAAAAACTGAAATTTAAGCCATTTTCATGATTTTCTCAACAAATAACTCTTCAAAATTAATCAATTTAAAGTTAAATTATGATTCAAGTAAAGTATCGTCTCGAGTCTTATTTGGCAACCCTACTCATTTTTCGATATACCTTATCGTTATCAAGGACTGACGGTGAGTCGTTAATGAAGCTCCTATGGCTCGTAGCGAAGTGATAAATAGCAAATAGCATAGGTCAATACATAATCATTTTATAATTATAAACATTTTTTTTATTTAAACTTTATAAAATTAAAGCATTTAACTTTAATCATACAGAGTTATTTTATTAAAAAACAATTATAGGTAAAATGTATCCACAAAATATACCATAGGATAATCTTAAAGGACGATGTTTTTATTTCTTTATTTGCGGCAACCCTACACTTTATACAGACCATGTCCAGAACCATTACTATCACAGCAAAGTATGCTTTATTATTTGGAAACTACGCTCTAAATTAGAGATTGGCAATGCAGTTTTCCAGGTTATCGTGCAATGGCTCTAAAACAACTTTCACCGGGTCTATTGGACCCTTAATTGTATACAATTAAATTCCAGAGTTTATTTTCTTGTAGTGTTGCCGATATTGCTGCTGTCATCAATTAAATTGTAAAGCAATTGTTGCCAATTTAATTGTTATGAACAATGCAACTGGAAGGATATTTATAGGTATCGTTTTATAAGTTTATTTTGCCCAATTTCCCGTAACGAGATTCAGCATAGCAGAGTATAATAATAAACTGTCATTCATTCAATTATATACAACCTCGTTACCTTCGTTCGTCCAAGGATGGAAGTCCCACTGTTGGAGATTTAATGCTTTGGTCGTGGGAGTGACATTAACAAACAATTTGTTGTCCCTTTTTTAATATATTTCGGTCATGAATCAGTCTTCAGATGTAAGAAATTAAAAAAGAAAAACCTAACATGTTTTACTTTGGTTAATATGTAACATGTTTATGTAATACACATATTTTACAGCTTTAGAGTACCATCTAGTGGACATGACAATAGGGCAAAACACCACATAAATCCTTGTTCATGAACCATTTTAATCGTAACCCAAGTCGATGTAAAGTTATGTTAACATTCCCTCTCGACGTATAAACAGTTACGAGGAACAACCTCATAAATATGTACTATCCACTTCGACATATCGGCCAGCGGATCAACTCCTTATTATATTCGGAGCGCTTCCCGGAACCTACTGAAAGGTTGGCACTTTACCCACCTCTCGTCTCGTCTTCTTCAGGGTTTATAGCTACTCCAAACAGTCGCAGCTAAATTTAGCTAGATATTATATGACTTTTAACTATCTTTAAAAACTGGTCTATTAAATACAAAAGGAATTTTTCGATTTCGATGGCAGTTCTAGAGACAAGCACATCCAAACATTCTCTCCAATTCTATTATATCTATATATTAATATGTGAATGAATATACCCCTTTTTAACCAAAAATTACGCGCACGGAGCAGTATAAATATTGCCACAGTTAAAGTTCCTATGGAGAAGTAATGCATAACATACGGCTCTAGGGGTACCCACAAGGTGGTCCGAAGACCTGGTCAAGGTCGCAGGAAGCCGTTAGATGCGGACAGCACTTTCGGGGAAGCCTATGTCATGCAGTAGACGTCTTACGGCTTAGGTGATGATGATGATATATTTTAAACTATGGCATCAAGGTCATACCAGGACCGTTGAAGTTTTATTCGTTAACGAAATAAAAAGACTTCCAAAACGGTCGGAATTCGGCCGCCAGGCAAAGTCTAGTTTTCACTCCGGTCCGACCTAATGATGGATAATGACTGCTTGGCGTTCGAACACTATGGGGCTTTAAATTCTTAGCCTGTATTTAGGCAATCTTTTTTAAAAACTGTACTCTTTTGATACAAAGTCTTGGCGCTTAAATTGGACAAGTTGAAGTATACTGGTTTTTTTATCACAAAACGTAATTTAGTTATTTTACAGAGTAAAAAAATTATCTGAGGAAACGTACAGCACTGTCTTGATGATAATAGTTTACTTGGTTGTGAACAATCATAATATACCTTTGATTGTGTTTCTGTAACTCACAATAATTAAAAATTTCATTTCATTTCTTTTTTTTTAAAGACAATGTGTCGCGGGGGACTTTATAAATATACATGAAACGGACACAAAGAACACCCAGACTCAGAACAACAATTTGTGCTTCACACAAAGTGTCGTCCCATGTGGGGTTTGAACCCACAACACTCGGCGAAATAGGAAGCGGCGTGGCGACCGCTTAAACCATTGCGCCATCCGTGCAGTCAGTGAAGTATAAGATTGAGCCCAATACGACTACGGTTTATTAGTTTTCTTATTTGTTCCTTTAATTAAAATACTTATGGATATTCCCTTGCTCTGGTAACAACTGCAACACACCGCAGAGGCGCAGAGACTATATGCGACCAAGGAACAATATTCTCTAACCATTATTAATTTTTTAATTATTCTCGCAAGTCTAGGTCTTGAAATCAATAGATAAACAGTATAAACGAGCCATCAGAACGTATGTGTTCCCTCCAATTTAAATACAAGGTGTTAACGAAGGAGAAATCAACGACATAACCGACTCCACGGATATTACGAGCACTAACAGCCACGTTCACACTGTTATAAATACTTGGTTTAAATCACTTTAGGTCTCAGGCTGATTTGGACATCAGTTTGTGACATTCTCTGAAGTTATTCTGACATAATTTTGACAATTATACCAATGGTAAATGACTGAGATGAAGTTCCTTCTCTGCCTTAAAAATTGAGATATGTTTTGTTTGCTTTTTGGTTTACATCTTTCGGTCTTCTCGGCAGTTTCACGTGTGTAAACCATTTTAGTATAATTCTTAATGGAAATATTACCTACGCCTAGGATAAAACTAAAACAGAGAATACTATTTATTCAGTGACAGCAATTTAAAGAAGTCAACGTGTTAATAAAGGTTTTGTACTTTCTCATAAATAGGATCTGCAAGACTTTACTTTAAATGGTTATTGATTTTTGCAATTTCTTGTGTTATGAATACGTATTTAATAGATCTAATTAAACGGTAAACTGTTACCGTTAAGCCCTGTACTTGCGTGGGTCTTTTGTAGTATGGGAAGTATGCTCTTAAGACTAACCCGTTCTACCTAATAATACTTATGCGTGCATGCTACGAAGAGCCATACTTGCAATTAGTAATCCACAGATTGTTTGCATAATGACGCTCCGCCCTAAATATGTGTGTGGTTCGCAACTAAACTAGTAATTAATATAACAAGCTTAGAGAAACTGAAGTTTTTGTCGACATCCACAGCCTAGTTAGTAAGTGATATTGATGGTGAGGAATGCGCGTGGAACTAGATAGTACTTGTCGTTGTAACCACTCCATTAAACATAGCAATATAACTTCCAACATGTTCGTTGTCCGTTGTCATGTCCGTCAAGTCTTTTAATTTATTTAACATTGATAGATCATTTAGTTTTAAGCCGTTGAAGTCGGCTTAAAACTAAATGTTCTACAGGAGGAGGTTATCATTTCGGATGTTTTTTTTTTTCACGTACGTTCGCGCATAACTCCATCATTACGGACGAACTCCATCGACGGATTTGCAAAATTCTTTTCTCGTTGGAAAGGGGTTTATTCCGAAATGGTAACATTTAAATCTATATATATAAAAGAAAGTCGTGTTAGTTACACTATTTATAACTTAAGAACGGCTTTACCGATATGGCTGAAAATTGGTGAGGAGGTAGCTTAGAGCCAGGAGACGGACATAGGATACTATTTGTTCCGAAAAAAAAAAAAAAAAAAACAAAGTTTGCACGAACTTTGCTTTACTCGGAGATGCCACGTTATTATACTTGGAATGCTTCATCGAAGAATTTTTAAAGACGGAAGCAAGGTGATGCGGTTCCTGGGTATCCGGATGTGCGTTCTACTGATGCTCTTGGTCGTATGTATACAGTTCATCCAAAGAATGATGAATGTTTCTATTTGCGGTTGTTGCTGGTAAATGTGCGTGGGCCAACGTCATTTGAGACACTACGGACTGTTAATGGTGTAATATTTCCAACATATCGTGCCGCATGTGAAGAACTGAACTTATTAGAAAACGATACCCATTGGGATACGACAATCGCTGAAGCCATTATCTCTGCATCTCCAAGTCAAATACGCACATTATTCGCTATCATAATTTCGACATACTTTTCATCAAACCCATGTAACCTGTGGCACAAATATAAGGATAATATGTCCGAAAATATTTTACATCAAATTCGTATCACTTCCAGAAATCACGATGTTGAGATGAATGAGGAGATACATAATCGTGCTTTACCCTTGATCGAAGATATGTGTTACCTCATGTGCGGTAGTTTATTAATCAGGTTAGGAATGCCAGTGCCAAATCGTGAAATGAATGACGCATTTAATCGAGAATTGGAACAGGGACGTGAATATGATCACCAGGAATTAGATTTAGTAGTTCAAACGAATGTACCCCTGTTGAATACCCAACAAAAGGAAGTTTATGATACTTCAATGAAGGCAATCGATGATGGAAATGGTGGTTCATATTTCCTAGATGCCCCTGGTGGAACAGGTAAGACATTCCTCATGTCAGTAGTTTTAGCCACTGTTCGTGCGAGATCCAACATAGCGGTTGCAGTTGCTTCTTCTGGAATAGCAGCCACATTGTTAGAAGGCTGCCGTACGGCTCATTCAGCATTAAAATTACCGTTAAATCTTCAAACTATTGAAGAACCAACGTGTAATATTACGAAAAATTCAGCAATGGCCAAAGTTTTATCGGCATCGAAAATCATCATCTGGGACGAATGCACAATGGCGCATAAACGTGCATTAGAAGCACTTAACCGAACATTGAAAGAGTTATGGAATGACTCGAGATGTTTTGGAGGAGCAATGATTTTACTGTCTGGCGATTTCCGCCAAACACTGCCAGTATTTCCAAGATCTACGGCTGCCGACGAAATAAACGCTTGCCTCAAATTGTCGAATCTATGGCGCTATATGAAGAAACTGCAGCTGACAACAAACATGAGAGTTGCATTGCTTAATGATACATCTGCTGAAGATTTCTCTGAGCAATTGCTGACTATCGGTAATGGTCAAGTACCTGTCGATGAATCGAGCAGATTGATATCATTTCCAAATAATTTCTGTAATTTTGTCTCATCAAAAGACGAACTTATCAACAATGTATTTCCAGACATTATTTCTAACTACAAAAATAATGAATGGTTGAGTGAGCGAGCAATTTTAGCGGCTAAGAATAAAGATGTAGACGACCTGAACTATATAATTCAAAATAAGATCATTTGAAGAATGCATTCATTCAAAACTATTGACTGCGTCACAAATGAAGATGAAGCCACCAACTATCCAATTGAATTTTTAAACTCCTTGGATGTGCCTGGCTTACCACCGCACAATTTACGCCTAAAGGTTGGCTCCATAGTAATCATGCTTCGAAACATAAACCAACCAAAACTGTGCAACGGTACGCGTTTGGTGGTTAGAAAATTGATGAACAATGTAATTTATGCGACGATACTGAAAGGAAAATTCAAAGGTGAGGAAGTTCTCATTCCGAGGATCCCGATGATCCCAACCGATTTGCCGTTTGAATTTAAAAGACTTCAATTTCCGATCCGTCTTGCATTTGTCATGACCATCTACAAATCACAAGACCAATCCTTAAAAGTTTGTGGTTTGAATCTAGAACATCCATGTTTTTCCCATGGTCAATTATATATGGCATGTTCACGGGTCGGAAGACCATCTGCGTTGTTTGTTTTTGCGCCTGATAAGAAAACAAAAAATGTCGTGTATCACAAGGTCCTTAAGTGAAGAGCAACCTATGTACTGAAATGCAGAAACAATAATAAAGGATTAATGTACTTCATTTTTTTTTCTAAGAAAAAAATTAACTTACTAAATTCGAAAATCGGCTTATTTTTTGCCTTTAAGGCGGAACAGAGTTCGCCGGGTCAGCTAGTTTCATATAGATCTAATGATTAGTTTTGGTGACTGACAACGGAACTCTTCAAAAAAAAAGACAGCAAATGAACCGCGATTGATGCTAGGTTTTTTAGTGCTCTGTGTTAGTATTGTTTGAAATCGGTTCAACATTTTTAAACTCTCTTGTTACATAAAAAATGATATGAATCATAAAACACCGACATATGTTAGAGGGGGCAGACGAGCACGGGTCACCTGATGGAAAGTGACCATCGCCGCTCATGAACGTCTGCAACTCAGGAGTCACAAACGTTAAGTAGGTAAACCATTAAATAGCCTTACTTCCAACATTGGCTTTATAATTTTTAAAGTTAATTCCCGTGACACAATTATAAACCGTAATATTATGTGCCGAAAGAGAAAACCGGTGTTAAACAATTGTTCCTTTGCTTTTCACGGAGTGTGTGAGTTTATTAGATCAAAGGGCACTTTAACTCTTGAGTTGCAGGTCTATCGGCGGAGGTAGTCACTTAATATCAGGTGAAGCGTCTGATAGTTTGCCACCTAAACCATAAGAAATTAACATAAATATATTTATGGACAGACAAACGAGCTCAACGATGTGGCAATTTCTTTACGTGTGGTTACGGACTAAGATAACGGTGTATCACCACTCCAATTCATCAGAGACGACTAAGAGACTTGACACAGACAATATACCAACCCGTGTTTCCAGGGTGGTATAGTAGGCCAAAACCTAAGGAGAACCTATGTCTAGCAGAGCACTGTTACAGGTTTTTGATGTTGTGGCGAATTTGCGACATTTTGTATTAGTCAATGAAGATTTCCTATATTCAATATTAATGCAGGTACACGTTCAACGCCCATAAAGCAACGGTACCGTAGTCTTGTAAGTTTTCTCCATAGGTACCCTGTTCGTGTTTTATTTTTATTTGCTGTATTATAACTATCGGGGCCGAAATATTGAAAATAAAGATGTCCTGTAGTATCATCATCAACAGCCTTCAACAGTCCACTGCTGGACATAGGCCTCTCCTTAGAAAGGAGTAGTATAGTCCTATCATAATACTAGTGTAATTAATTACTCCACACTGACACCACATTGGTAGTATTAGTAGTATCTACATTGCACCCGTGCGAAGCCGGTGCAGATCGCTAGTGTTTTATATACCACTGAATAAGTTATAATATTTTTTTGTTCTACTACGTAAAGTGAGATATATTTAAGTAAGTCGTAAATTAGTAATAAATCCATATAAGAATACTTTAGGAACAAATGTTAATAGGGTTGTAACAGTTTAAAGTCCCTTCCCGGGACGCCTGACAGAAGTGATAACTTAAACTAATCTAAGTTGAAATATTTATTTATTTGAACTATATTGAACTATTTATTTAATATTGAAATTGTTTAACTTGAGAAAAGCTTAGGTTATAACTTAAATTTTATGTAAAGCGTCTGTCCGAAGTACGGCTAGCGCTGTGGGTTAGAGTGAGAGAGGAGGAGCCTGCCTACCGCTGCCATATGCGTGAGAGAAAGGAAAGCCAGACAGACTTACGCGCCGTAACGCGTTACGTAACGAAGTGGTTTATCCTCCCATAAGAAGTTATCACTTCAAAAACTAATGTTATGTTAATATATTTTTTTAGCACTATTTCAGATATATAACATATATACGCATACTTGGGCATTAAATTTTCTATTAGACACAAGTTAAAATAACAGTTGTCTATACAAAACCAAAGAAGAATGATTAAAATGCAATCGATACAAAAGTACAGTCGGTGTGGGAGCCTTCCTTTTGTCGTTTCGTGAAATCCGCCGAGTCATGCTCCTTGACAAGATGTCGACAACACGCTTGGCACGTTGACATACATTCACATAATGTTATAAAAATAATATTAAAGGCCTGCGGAGATTACTTATATTCAATCTTAAGTTATAAGATTTGTAATATCATTACAGATTGAATGATGTTTTTCTTCGTTCTCACAAGGAATACCGTTATTGCGTCTTAGCAAGAGTGGTGAGGTGTTTTTATTTTATAAATACTAGTTTGGGCCCGTGTCTCCACTCGCATGTATGTCGGTTATCGCAGTAAAAGTAGCCTATGTTACTCGCTGATAATGTAGCTATCCATTGGTCATTTCTTCATATTTAAAAAAAAAAAAATTATAACTAGCTGGAATTTGAAAAGCGTTGCCTTAGTGGTGAAGTAGGGTACGCGACTGCAGTCCATGAGGCGTCAGGTTCAATTCAAGTTACTCCTCATATAGACTGCTACCTGGTAGTATAATATTATCAAAATCGGTGAAGCCGTTTTGAAAATTACCCGGAATAAAGAGACAGGTAGACAAAAAATACTTAAACTGGTTTTTAAGCATTATTAATATTTTGAAAAACAGACACTTTAATTTTATTTATTTGTGTAGATTTAAGTATGGATAAACGACGAGCAAAAGCGGTCATTGAGATGGGAGTATGCTCTGCTCTTGAAGGTCTGACGAACGTATCGATAACCTGATCTTCATGTTTCTAAGATCGAAAACCAAGTAGCTGTGTGGGCTCACAATTTTATTTAAATAGAGATTTAACATTTCGATCTGGTTGAAGAAATAGCCTATTTCTCTTTCTGTCACAATACAACTGTATATTAATAATTCTCCGGATACAAAACTACATGGGCACCGAAGAAATACAGACGTCAATATTATGTGATATCAGATATGGTTCCGTTTAGAAAATTAGTTCCGATTATCCAATTATTTCTGGTAATCGGATTTACGGATATTGGATTGTTGTGGAATACGTAAAAAAAAACAGGTCATGATATGACATGATTTTTTATGCTGTCAGTTGGGACCGTAATTAGAGAAAGGATTATTAGCGATTATAAAAGTTGCTCATTCTCATGTACAATTTATTTAGAAATGTAAAAACAAGATTATATTAAATAAAAACCGATCATAACCGCGGGTAATTTCATGTGCAATGTAAAAACGAAACTAGTAAACCAAAAAGCTTTATAAAAAGCCCTATCCGAAAGTTATCGGATAAGCTTTTATTTTCGAATATTCAATAAAGTCGATTACAGCTACGATGGTCTTTAACATCCCTGCATTATCTACAGAGTTTATCAAATAAAAAGAATTCAACGCATTTATGTTTAGTATTACCACTTTCCACTACGTTATAGTCCTTTACTACGTCATAAACAGTCTATTTTATAACTCTTTTTCCCAGTCTAGTGCTTAATTTCTTTAACATTATTGACAAGTACTAGTGACAACCCTACAAAGTTGATGGGGGACTCATTTTTTGCTCATTACTCGTTCAGACCGCAACCGGTCGGCTGCTGGCCGCAGCCCCCGCATGCGGGACTTTATTACGTCTGTTTTACTTTGTACAACAGACTCTAAATATTTAATAATCTGTAACTTGATAGTCAATACATTGTTGTATATAATAAACACCTCAATAATCAGTGAATTGATAGCAGTTAAAAGCGTATTAACTTCACGATTGCTAAAATTTGCAAAAGGCGTTGCACACGTTCAGTATCCAAGATCTGTGTTTAAGAGAATACAGTTAAAATGTGCTATTAAAAGTTTGTCCTAGAATTACTATACTACTAAGTGCTAGGTAAAATTAAAGTTTCAGTTTTCGAGAAAGAATATAAACAAACCAAAGGATATAATGCGTCTCTATGTTAAATTTCTAATTCGGTTTGATTCTAAAAAAAACACGTCAAGTGCGAGATCAGTCCTACGTACAAAATTTAACACAAGTGATTCAAAACATAACGTTTCTTGTCTAGTGCTTTTACATTGTATTTTGTTTATATTAATTTATTAGTTGTAGTAGAGCGGCCTTAGAAAAACACGCCTTAAAAATAATTTGTCTACCAGTTACGAATCTTAAGATACAACGAAGGCGGACGGTTAGCGAAGGCTCAGTAATAGGATTCCGTTAACACTCTTTCAGTACGAAACCCTAAGAAGTGTCTATCTGCTACAAGTCGTGTTTGTGTTCTCAGGAAGTTAGTATTATAATTAAATCGTCTCCAAAGTAACGCCTCAACACTGACAAGGAACGTTGTTCGCCTGGTTTAATACCAAGAGTGGGATTATAGACCATTATTATTAGACTTATTTCCACCTTACCCTTTTATCATATTTAGTTTACTCAGATTACTTCATTTTATTTGAATTTTTCATTTCTATATTTCCACATACATAAGACTTTGCTTAAAAGTTCTCTGCTATTTTTTATTCACTCCCAAGTTCGCTGGAAGAAAACTCAGATTTGAGTTAAGCTCGCTTTTGGTCATAACATTTCCTTG